GCTCCATCTGCTGACATAAAAGAAGCACAGCTTGTAAAAGAGAGATGCATGACTTTGAGTCCAAAGGCTTATTCAATTATATCAGTCCAACTATAATTTAGCACTTGAAGGATAATCTCACAAATTCTGGTTCGAAGGCAATGATGTGATATTTTATGTCAATTCTGTAGTTTATTTTGGGTGCTGGGAATTGTAGCTCCATGAGGGGAAAACGAAATTTGCCAGGATTCTTCAGAGGAAGTCATGTTATTAAATGCACGTTGAACGTGCTTTAAATATAGGGTATATGGCTCTGCCATGTGTACAAAATGTACTTAGATAAAGCCAGAATATGCATCAATATGGACCCTACACTCACACAGAGCCTGCACATGCATTTTTGCATGAATGTAGATTGGCATCAGTGTTACACTGTACATCCACTGATGGGATGGGCAAGAAGAGTTCACCATATATATGCATGACATATGTGCAATGCAGATGGAGAGAGGAAGCACATGACATTCAATGAATTATATACATTTTTAAAAAGTGCAGCGAGGTCCTTTCACAGTCCACTATAAACTTGTGCGTTCTTGCATTACATCACTGAGAACAGGAATCAGTTGCACATGCAGTTTGTTAGAATGAGATTGTTTACAAAATACTTCCCAAGCTTTCCCTTTTTGAATTGAATTGATTCCATTGAATATGTTTACAAAAGCCAACTAAAAATAAAATAAGTTAAATCATATGTTTATTTATTATTTCTTATCCTACTGGATCCTGAAAGATCCCTTTCAAAATTCTCAAAAGAGCAATATATTTCATACAATAAATTGAGAGTGTCATTGTTTCCATTGGCTTCACTGTGGCTGTGCAAACCTTTTGTTTATGGTACATTTAATTATCTTCCTATTAAAATGCCTCTTTTAATAGGATATGATGTATCACAAAGCATTAAGAGCTGTTCTGCTCTACAGCTCACTAAGAAAAGGACCACAAACACAGCAAATCCATCTTTTGTTTTTAATTGCAACTTTTGTTATACTTCTGCTCCGTGCACAGGAAGCAGCTCCTTGATCCCTTGGTTTTGCTAACAAACCATTAGAGAGTTTACTTTCATCCACACTAGAACTGCTACAAAGTGGGGAAGTTGTTGTTTTTAAAGGAAAGGAGACTAAACTAGGGAAACTAGTAGAAAAACATACGGGTGACATGAGTTAGGCTGGGGCATTTGATTTTGGATACTATGCATAGCATACTATGCATAGTAAAAACAAATAAACTGCAGGATATTGTGAATGTCACCATTTCAGAATGTAAAGCTACGTTACAACACAATGTATGTATCACTTATTAATTTTTATATGTGAATCTCATAAGAACAGAGAACAACAGATTTTACAGACTATTTCTAGGACAATTTACTATAATTTGGTTATCATCCTGATTCCTAGATCAGGGTTTTTAAATTTTTCCACTCACTCTTTGCGCCTGTAGCGTAAGGATAGTTCTAATATATTTTCAGAAGCAAATTGTTGGTGTGAACTTCTCCCTAGGCGACCAGGATTTGATTTCTGCAATCATTGTGTCCATCTAGATTTTCCCACGAGCCACAAATAGTACAAAAAATATTAGCTTCGAGGTCCAGTCAGAAAATTGTCAGTTCAACAGGCAGAAGAACTTTAAAACTGTCAAATCAATTAGGCAACCAAACATGCTTTTCAAGACACAATAATGTCAGCTATTAGAAATGCCTACAGAAATAGTGGAAGGCTGGTCTAGCTTGTTCAAGGGGACCTTCTACCCATTCATCTCAAATGAGTCCAATTTATACAAACTTTGTGTCTACATAAATCCCAAACACTGTCTCAGACTATCTGGCTAAGGTGCACCACTTACTGCATTCAACAGCAAAGAGATTGTTAGCCACTATTCCACACCAAAGAAGAGAAACTCTTCTGTTTCAAGACACTGTTTTGGCACTGATGAATACCCAAAGCTGCAAAGTTCAGAAACCTAAGCATATGGCTAACACACCTGTAATAATTTCCAGAGGAGTAACCTTTTTTATTCTCTTGCAACAAAAAACAAAACAAGAACATTTTTTGTTGCACCACAATGACTAACAAATTTATAATGACATAAGTTTTCATGAACTACAAGTACTTCATCAGATGTATGAAGTGTTATACTGAGTTGCAGATGTGTATATGTATTGTACTTTTTGCTGGTAAAAGAAGATAGAGGTGCCAATACTATTATCCTGATATAAGTGTCATGGGTGCCAGCAAAAAACGCCTGCTAAAAATGTGAACTGTAATCAGGTCAGAAAAGAATTAAATGCTGAAAAATACGGAGAGTGATAACTACAGTTGTGTCGATAGCACAGACATCGTGGCAATTAACACATGTAGTGTGATAAGAATTACATCATTCTTCCATTTGTGGATTTAATGATATTAAATCTGTGAAACTAAGCAATTTACGTAGTAATAAGAATGTCAGAAATCAATTTGAATTCTGTTTCAGAATATACATTGCCCAAGCAAATTCTACGCATGGTGTTATCCAGTGGTATTGTTCATTTAGTTAAGAACTCTCCTAAATGCATTTTAACCTAGCCATGAGTGAGCAAGCAAAGTTTAAAGCCAGCTTTTCCTTGGCGGGGCAGGAGGTGAAGGGGAAAGAAAATAAATGAATGGGAAATTGACAACTCTTGGATTTCCAGCAATGACATGCAGTCCATCAGCCAAACAGGGGCCTTACCATAAAAGTAGGGTGCTTGGGCCAGTATCAGAATCTTCACCCTCTCTAATGTTAGAGTACTCAGTCAATGTAAAACAAAATAATCCCTGCAAAGTGAGACATCAAAGAGTAAACAACGTGCCTGATTTTTTCTTAATAAAAGTGCCCTTTTATCTCCCTCTGCCAGGAAAAAGGTGACAACCCCCGCTTGAAGCATGTTTGATTAGAATTCAAAAGGTTTTTTTGAAATATGCTTTTCTATGCAGAATTAATTTAAGTCTCCAGCTGGAACAAAAGCATTGTGTAAAAGTGATATTCTACAGTTTCTCTACTGAACCACATCCATGTGGCATTGTTATCACTGCAAGAGCTGTTGACTTCAATCAGCACATACTGATAATCACAATAGAAGAATATATGCAGAGCAATAATTTGCATATCAAAATATATTCATATTTGGAATTGTTGGAATAAAAGACAGAAAAAGGGTTTGATTGCTTTCTATCTTTTTGCAAGAGGGCCCTTTTACAAAAAAAGGGGGGAAATACAGTATTTGCAGTTTTACTTTCATAAAAGAACAAGCTACATAAGAAAACCATTCTATACTATGGAGAGATCACCCAAAGGTTCCTTTTCTTCTTGAAACAGTTAACTTTTATATAGCTATATTTTACCATGATATACCACTTTCATGCATGTCATATTATTTTCATGTATGCCTATGTCATGGAGTGCAATGACTAGCATGTGAGCTGGTTGAAATATCATCTAAAGCAATTCATACAGCATTTTCACACAATAAACCTAATTCACTTGGTCGACAAGCAGATGTAAAATCTGTAATGTATATAGAAATTCTGCTTTTCACATTCCATGTGATATCATCAATGGTCACATGTAATGCAAATACTACGACATGGTCAAATGAACATTTTTAGTATCTTGTGTGAAAACTGTCAGGCAGGAAAGGTGAAGTCTTCAACCATGCATGAAAAGTTTGGGGAAACCATGCAACTATGTTTGCTTTGGCTTCTGGCCTAACCTAAATCTGTTAAGCCATCTGTGAAACACATGTTAAGCAGAAGACTTTGAATGACACATGCCTAAACAAGAGTCTTGAAATGCTGTAATGAGCCTAGTTCTCAATGAGGTTATTAAGTTGTGCCTGGCTTGTTACCCTTGGGAATGCAGGGGGGAGTACCCTTGTATGTATACAAATGTATACCCATACAAAAACCAATCTCCCCATATAATAATGGATGTCGAGATAAGAGATCTGTTTGCAGGGTTGGAGGGGGGTTTTGTACTGGAAGAATGTTCTGTCATGTGAGTCCCCACCTCCAATTACTACCTCAGTTGAGAACTAGGTGCAATATGGCGTTGCATTACCGCAGTAGTGAGGTTAAACTGGGCAGAGCATACATCAGTTTTAAATTGTTTCCTGAATGATACTGAATAGTGTGTAAAATTCTGTGGGCCTAATGCCAACTCCTATGTCAATTAATACAAATTCTTTTTTGATGAGGTTTTTTCCCCCACAATTAGATGCAAAAGTTACCAATGTGCAAAATATAAATTAAAGCATTTCCAAATCTTTAATACCAGATTACTGGCACCTTAATTTAGAACAACTAGAAAGTATAACACAAGTGGATTCTGCTTTTTTTTTTAAATGAGTGGAAATGCAAATAAATTATCACCTTATTATTTCAATATTCTCAGATACAGTATTTTATAATAAAAAGGGGTATGGGGCGTGTGTGTGTGTGTCTAAACAAAGTGAACAAGTCTGGGAAATGGAATGCGATGATTTTGTAATACTGGTATCTTTCATATGTGAAAGGGCTGTCCAGTTATAAATATGGTGCCAAAGAAAAAATCTGATTGGGATCTAATTAGAAGCTATTGATAACATTCTGAATCCAAAATGGTTCTTTTTAATTTTTATCAATACAAGTAAGAAACAGAGCAGAACAGAATTGGAATTTTTTTGGTAGCTTCAAAGATAGCGTAAGTTAACATTTGGAAATCTCCCAAAAAATTGCTCTCCACTTCGGGAGGTTTGTGGAATGATATCAGCATAGCCATAGCAGGAATGTATACGTTAGTAGCGTTAAAGAATTCCTGCCTGAGTTGGCTTTTTTCTTTTGTACCTTCTTGTGTTGTGTATTTTAGATTCTAAGCCTTAGGGCAGGGGCTGTGTTGGATCACTAAACTTTAATTGGAAAAAGCAGTATAAATAAATAAATAAATAAATAAATAAAGCTTTAGCAAACACTGTCCCAAAGAAGGCCTTTTATTTTCTCAATAACTACAATAACTTTATTTAGTATGTGAACACTAAGTGTCCACATGAAATTGCAGGACAATGAACTATACATATTAGGGAAAGTGCAACATACGGATTAAAGGAACATATAAATTCAACTTTCAGCCAAGTCGTCCCAAGCATAGAGGACTTCCTTTCCATACTGTGGTATCTGAATCAATATAATACTACCAACATGTGTGATGCTCATCATTTTTTAAGCCCAGGATACTCTCAATGAGGTTTGTGGTGAGGCATAGGGCAAGGCCTATCAAATAAAATGCCCTGCCCTTCTGCATGCATAAACAGGCTCTCTCACCAAAATCTATGATCTTCAAAAGTATTCTCTAAAACAACCTCACTAACTTTTTGAGTACTACTTTTTAAAGTATGTATGTTTGATGCTGTCTCAAACAACATGTACATGGGGATCTACAATGTGCTACATTATAATCAGGGTGCCATCTGATAGTGAATACTAACAACTTGACAAATGACAATAATCTTCAGAGCATGACAACAGTATTAAAACAATCAGCTCATCTAGCAGTTGCTATTAGCTGGTTATGTTAACCTTAAAATATTTAACAGCCTATAAAAACTATATACCAAATTATGCAATATGTAATTTTGAACGCAATTAATAGCAAAATAAAATATGGGAAAATATTATGCAAAATCATGTGTTGCATGCAGTAAGTAGTTATTTTAAGTAGCTTACTTAATACGTTGTTGAAGCACTGTGCAGCTTAGTTTTAGATTCAGAATAAGTGTGTGATGGATTTCTACAGTCTACTCATAACCACATATTAGTAGAGTAGAAATTCCTATAGAACGAAGACATATGACACCCTTGAAACATAGCAGTATAGCCTCACAGTGTGGATCTATTTTTCAGAGAGTTTCTTTTTCAAAGAGGCAGGCATCTCAGGTGGTGGGGGCCGGGGTAGCTTGAGATAAACCTTAACTGAGTCATAGATGAACCACTGCAGGGCAGTGAGGGTGCCAATCATTAAGATGCGGGTAAATAGCCCTTTCCAGATGCCTTTCATGCCCAATTTCTTGAGGACGCCTACAGCAGTGCTGCCCTTTTCTTTATTGAGCACAGATATCACAGAATCAGCTGGGTGTGAGACTATAGCACAAAAGACTCCAGCAATATATCCACCAACAAATGTGACTCCAAGTTGTTCCATTTTGGTGCACTGATCCCGTGGTTTGGGCATGACGTATTTGTAGAGAGCCTCTACAGTTCTTTCAAAGCAGGAAAACTTCATCATGGTGTAAGGGATCTGCCGCATCCAGAGTGGAGCCACCCCCTTGTAGAAAGCCCACAGCCCTTCTTCAATGTACATCTTGGGAGCTGCCTCCCGCAGTGTGTTGGCAAAGCCATGCTGGGTCTGAATTCGTACCTTGGCAGCTTCCATTGGGGACAAAGCAATGTCAGCAAAGAACTCAGCACTGGCTGAAGCAGCGAGGTAAACGCTGGTACGCCACAGATAAGCTTGTTCGGGACCCAACAAATCAGAGTAATATATCTTGAAGTACTCGTAGAGGCCAAACTTAGCAAGTCCTTGCATGGAGTAGCCTATGGCTGTTGGAGCCCACCCCTTGACCAGACCACGCATTCCCTCCTCTTGCACAGTGAGACTAAGCCCCTGAAAAAGTCCCCGATAGCGCGTAGGTTCCACTTGCATGCGGCACTTCACCACGTCCAGCGGGCATACTGCTGTGTGGGTTGCGCCACAACTCACCACGCCACCCAGGGAGCACAGTATGAGGTAAGTCGTTGACCCATACTCACAGCTATACTCTTCCTCTGGTGGAGGTGGAGGAGGGGCCGCTTTTTTGGTTGCAGCTGCTGCTGACAGGCAGCGCCGATGTTTGCACAGAGAGAGTGGACTGCTGTTCAGGGAGGCCACTGCATCCATGGCCCTGTAGCCGCCTGAGGCCTTGCACAAAAGTGGGGGTGCAGGGCTGCCGCTGCTGTTTCCCCGAGAACTCCAGGAAGTGGGGCAAGCAACTGTCCAGAGTCGAGACCAGAGCTTGGGGTGGGGGTATATGCAAGACCTAGAGCCCTCCATTCCCATTTCCTCCAGGTTGCTGATGGATTTGCTGTCGATACCCGTTCTCCAGGAAGTATAGGCAACTGCACTCCACAGCCAAGGTATGTTCTGGGAGGTGGTGAACTTGGTGCTGCTAGTCTCCTCCTTCCAGGAACTGCATTTTCCCTGGTCTGCAGAAGGACAAGCCATATTCAGCGCAAGGGAGAAGGGCCAGGAGCAGATTAATGGCTACTTTCCCAACTGCCACGAATCCCAGGGTTCTTCTAACCATAGAGACTCGGCCTCCAAAGGAAAGATCGGCCCTCCCAGTGGGTGCAGACAGTGCACTGCATACACTCTAGCCTACTCCACACGTGGCTTTGCTGAAAGCTACAAGGCCTCAGTGGGCCAAAACATGCCTAGCACCATGGAAGCAGGTTTTAAATACATAAAAGAGGATGGCCACTGGTTATGTTGCCCTAAGGATTAGACTCTCTTTAATAGTAAGATTTAACCACAATGTAGAAGAGTTTGCTTGAGGTTAAAAGTAACAGATGTAAAAATACATTTGTCTTCCATATTTAAATAACCAGAGGCTGGTTGTTCACTCATTCATTTCTTCCTAACACCTTTGGGAGAAATAAGACAACATGGGATTCCCCAAAATATGTTAAGCCTTAACTTCTAACTGCTAAAGGTTTGAGTTTGATGTAAATAAAGTAGACAGTGGTTGTATGTTATTGGCTAACAGACAGACAGCACGGTCCTAGTGGCTATATGTCACTCAGCATAAACTAAATGGCACCATGATCTCCTAAGGAGGAGGTGCATGGATACTTAGAAAACTAACATTACTTATTGGATGTTAATTGTGAAAAAAGGTAGGTTGTTAATGGAAAATAAAGCTGGGGAAAAGATGGGAAATATAATGGGAGAGAATTACAGGATAAAAGAGGGATACAGAGAAGTGGGGATTTCAGGATAGTGTTTTGTGGTAGAATGGATTATCTGAGAAAAGGTTTGCCAGATCTGCATGACCAGTGCTTGTTTTGTAATGGTACTCACTGGTAGAAAGTACCATTTGTCTTTTTTTTTTTGCTGCCTATGGTAGCCATTTTGTATTGTCTTTGATCAAGATTACATAAATAAATAAATGTCTCCTGCCATTAGATTTCTGAGAATCAGGGTTTAAAATAGTGATCTTTTTAACCTGAATGTATTATTGGGGATTGTAATGTACATAAAGCTAGTTGGATATTTCCATCTCATAGTTAGATTAACCCTCCAGTGTGTGTCCAGGTGTAATCTGTCAGAGACCACATACCAATGATGGGTGGGGCCAGAGACAAAAGTGTATGGGACACCCCTACTCTTCCCCAGCTCTCTTTCTGAAACCCACTTTTCCCTCACCTACAGGAAATTAGTCTGAGGGTCACATAAAAGTAGGCTGAGGACTGAAGTTTGCCTTCCTGTGCTCTACGGCTACAGGGGAGTGGTGCTAAGAATTTTCCACACTGTTGTAAGAATGTATTAGAAGGCTTAAAATATGTTTTGACAAAGATAAAATAGACCTGGCAAAGCTTTCCTTATTTTCTGGCCAAACCTCTGCTGCTGCCATTGCCGCTGCTACTATGGCTATGGCTTAGAATATTACCTTTCATCGTTCTCTCACTGTCATCTGTTCACTGTCTTCTTTAAAACAGCACTTTAAATATTTGAGAGCTACTAATATGCCCTCATTCCCCTTTTAATGCAAAGTAACTTGCATAAATGTTTGTTTCTGACTCTACCTCATATTCATAGTGCTAAATTTAAATTCCCATTTTTTAACTGTAATGAAGGAAACAAAGCTTCAATGTGCTCTCAGGCAGGGATTTATTGTGGGATTGATGTTCATGCATACAAGTTTTTTGCAGCACCCACACAACATCATTGGTATAAAAATGACAGCCTGTATTTCCCCCTATTTAATCTGGCTTTACACTTTCCATGGAATTTTCAGTAAGTTAAAGAATACCTCTTGTCCATTTGCTTTCTGTTAATGACCCATTTGTAATAAGGTGCTATCTGGAAGCACCATTAAGTTTAATGTTTTCAAGGATAAATGATGAGCATATTAGTTGTCCCCACTACATGCAAAAGGAGAATGCTAGGCAACTAACTACAGTATGTGGCTGTTTCATTTCCTCATGTTATTGTGTTTTGCAAGCAAACTGCAGCTTGACAAAAATGGCCAAGAGGGACAATGTCAGGGCCTGAGAGAAGGTCTGCTTTTAAAGCAGATTGCTTGTCCTGCTGTGAAGTAGCAAAAAGCTAGAGAGGGCAGTGCCTGGAGGAGGCACTGCTGTGTAGGTCAAGTTCTTCGACAGCAGAACCCTCTAGCAGAAGTTGACCTTTCGGCAACTGTTGGACACAATAGCTCCTAAGCAGTTTCTGAAAGGACTTCTGAAAGTATCTATTTTCACAAAATTAGAGTTGTGGACAATGAACCAGCTTCATGATCCACATCGGCTTCTTTTTCCTGGAGTGGTGGTATGGTTTAAAGCCGGTACGTGTTCCCAGGTCTGTTTCCTTCACGATAGAAAGTCCTGGATTCTTGTACATTTCAGGTTAGCGGCACCCATATTTAACAATATAAATTATGAAAAGAACACAGGCACTTCAAAGGTTAGCTGAGTAAACAGTACATGAAGTTTTGTAGATATCAGGGAGTTTCTGAAGCTGCACTTGGCCATTTTCTCTAAGCCAGCCTTTTTGGACCTGGATATTTGGCTAATGGACATTTTTTTAAAAAATAGATGCAGTTTTTATAGGTTTTTATTTTCACTAAAATTCTGTTTCTGTTAGTTCTTGCTTGTTCCATTGGGAGGCTCAGACCTCACTATTAACCATTGTAAAAAAACCCCTCTTTTTTTACCTCAACTTTTCCTTTGAGTCCCCAGAAGCCATTTCCTTAATTTTATAAGACTGACAATTTAGAAAAACTTTTAACCGGTTTGGACTGATTGAAGTTTAGGAAGATGCATTTTAGGGGGTAGTAACACGTATACATGCATTATTGGTAGTTTGGTTAATTATTTTTATTTGCAACTCTAACCTTGCTTTCCATTTATAAATTGCAGTTTTATATTTCATTCATACATTCTTTTTATTCTTATATTTCAGTTACTGCAGAGTTTTTATATTTTTGTCATTTATATGCTTTGATTTTATAAATATTTCCAATTTATTTTGTTTTTCAGTATATACATACATAAGAGGGGATCAGCATTGCACCCATTGCCTCTGCCCATGATTTCTATGTGTTAAGTGAAAGTGACCTTTTTGGTTATAATTTATCTGTTTCTGTTTTTAACGTTGTTGTTTTTATATTGATGCATGATACTTTTAACTTGTAACTCTGAAATTGCTTGCAATGAAGAAAGGGATATAAATATTTATAACAAATAAATAACAGTGTTAAATTGGCCTCTATGTGTGTATAGCTATGACCCTGTGTGAACAGGGTTCCCAATTTATTATCAGACTTTTGCACAATTAAGTACCGTACAGTGTACAGCAATTAGCTTGATGGTTATATAGCTTGCCTTGTAACATACTGAATATCTTGTGTGGCTGTTTGGAGTTTTTAAAGAAGGCATATTAGTGACCGTAAATGAGCTATCCATAATTGTCCATGAGTAAAAGCTGACCAAGGAATCTGGCAGAAATGGGTGGAAAAACAGCTGAAATAATATTTTTGGGTGAAACAATAGTTTATTGTTGCCCTTCATTTATTTTATGAAAACAAGGTGTTGTATAACTAAAGACATACATAAGTTGCTTGTTTCTGTAAATGTGCTATATGGAAAACTCATATAATAAAAAGAACAAAGCATTGAGGATGCTGTCCCATAACATCTGAGGGGCCACATGTTCTCCACTTATAAAACTTAAAACATGTGAAGCTGGCCAGTTTTTAATTAACCAAAAGCCAACACTGGTTTAAGCAGCCCCAGGTAGGGCCAGCACAAGAATCACTCAGCCATGCGGTTAACCAGTGCCAGTAAAACAACACTATCTCAGTGAATGCTGCCGCTCTCATGTCCTGTTAAAGCTCAAAACTGAGCAGCCTGCTTCTTAAGAAAAATTATTGCAGGACCACTAGAAGACTGAGTTCCTTATCTTCTGCTAGCAATCGCCTGCAGTCCTTAAACCAAAAGCTCCACCTCCTTTCTGACAGAGGGAGAAGGGAGTCAGCAAGCTTAGAACACTTGATTTTAAAAAGCAAAGGTTTTTGAGGATATGCAATGCCACCCACCCACCTATTGCTCTGTTGAAGTCTTCTAGAGGAGTTCTACTGGGGGCTGGCCAATTGTTTCTTTTCTTTTTGGAGCCGAACTCCTCCCCTTCTGCAGGCCCAGGCTTACTAGCTATATTGTAGCTATTCTCTGCAGCCTCTTAAGAGCAGATTCAGACCTGCTGCCTTGGTGTGGTGGGGCTGCAGACGGTTGCCTGCCATGGAGTCGCAAGATGCAGCTGCTCAGTCTCTCCGGGCCCCCAAATGCTCACGCTGCCGGAACCACGGCTTTGTGGTACCCGTGAAGGGCCACGCAGGCCACTGCCGCTGGAAGCAGTGCCCATGTGAAAAATGTGCTCTCATTACTGAACGCCAGAAGATCATGGCTGCACAGAAGGCCTTGAAGAGGCAGGGACCGGACTCCCCACTCAGGGAAATGTTGCCACCTGGTCAGCACAGTCCCAGCGATGAACAGGTGGCAACCACAGGTAGCGGCAGAAAGTGCTCCAGGCTGAATCTTTCAGAACCCCACACCCAGGGGCCTGTTGTGCAGGAAGGAGCCAAGGGGACTTCTGCAGCAGTTAGCCACTCTATGAGGACAAGGACTGCCAGGACACCACCCAAACCCAGCTCTCCAACCTTCATAGACTTAGGTATGTGGCCCAGCTCAAAGCTCTGCTTCAAACAGGCTGATGTGTTCATAGCCATTATTTTAATGTATTTTTAATCTTTGTTGGAAGCTGCCCAGAGTGGCTGGGGAAGCCCAGCCAGATGGGCAGGGTACAAATAAATTATTATTATTATTATTATTTTATTTTGCATATATGCACCAAATGTTCCACCTGCTCTGCCTCAGTAATTTCTGTTTTCTGTTGTTGAGATTTAGTACTCGTGCTATTTGGGATTTATTCTTCCCTGAAAAAAGATAGTATGGATTTATTTATTTATTTTGCAGTTCCATATCCTGCTTGAGGACTTTGTAGCTGCAGGAATTTAGTCTTGGATGCTGCTTGACCATGTTTCATTGTTGCAGAAAAGAAAGAAAAACCACCCCACAAATCTATGCAGCCGGTCTTTGTTTTAAGAGTGAAATGAGCTTGCAGCAGGCCCTGCGCAGCACTGAATTGCCAATAGAGCAACAAGACTAACCCAGAGTCTGGACTTAAAATGAAGTTTGTTGTATTTTACAGGCATCTCCTTTAGCAAGGGGAATATATCACAGCCAGTGCAAATAAACAGGGAAGTTACTGCCATTTGTTAGGACCGGGTGTGTAAAATATAAAAGAGAAAAGAAAACCTGGGATTTGACTGTCGTCTTATGAAAAATTATTTTTGCAATGAAAGTGGTGCTCATATGTGGCTGCTTTTACACATATCTAGAGCTGCAGTGAATTTTGGGAGGGGAAAATCAAGATCTAACTTTGCAAAATTAAATTTTATTTTACAATACTTAGATTTTTTTGCTCTGCATTCTCATTATTGAATTTAAGGGTTAAAGTAACAACATGGAGTTTAGAAAATGTTAAATCTAGCAAGTTGATAGCAATACTGCCTTAAATCAACAAGCTGTAAGTAAAACAAATTTATCAAAAACATATATGTTGCAAAATGTCTTTAAGCTCTGCAATTTTCCTCAGTTTTAAATTTTCAGAACATGTTGGTTCAGTTCTAAAAAATATGTGGTTAATATGACTTCAACATGCTCTCTAGCTGTTTAATTCTATTATCTCTATTTTGTGCTATCTTTAATTGTGGTTTGCCATCTACTGGTTTGTTAGTGTACTAAACACTATTAAAACAGCCTGTATGTTATTCTTTTATTTAGACTTAGCATTAAACCTGTGAGCTTGTTTTCAAATGCATCAGGTTGTGTTTTGTTTTGTTTCGAAATACTGATAAATCTTCCAGCCACAAGTGCTGCAAATTCAGAGGCCCTGGTAGTGTTTAACTTAGCTTCAATACTACATGGTGTCTAGAATCTTTTAACCTGTGAGTAGGAATGGTGTCTCTGGACATTCTCCAGCTGGGTGGGAGCCATTTATCCATGAGTACCTCTACATAGCTGTAAAAACATTTAGATAACCCAGCCAGAGGTGTAACTGGGTCCCTTGCACCCTTGGCAAGGAGCTGTATTGGTGGCACCACCCCCAGAAAAAAATCTGACTTTACCGTAATAGCCACATTAGAAATTGCTGCATTTTATGCTACCTAAGTACTTGAAGTGACCGGAGTTAGTGTGAGGATTGGAGGAAGGGTGAAAACATTTGCATGTCTTTGTTCTGTGGTGCAACAAGGATGGGAAGCTTGTTCCACTTTTGATCTCACCACGACAGTGGTCTACCTTCATACCGCCTTGCCATTTCTCCTACAGCTCAGCTCCCCACTCTTGTCTAAATTCACAACTTTGCACAGATAGCTGGAGAAAGATTTCTGGGGTGATTAGTCCTTCTCCCTGGGCCTGCGCCTCCAGCGAAGGCCTGTTTCACCAGCCCCTAAGTACACCTCTGAACCCAGCTATGTAGGTACAACCCAATTGTAAGGTTCTTTCCCACAGACCTGGCAATTTGCCCCAGTGCAGTGAGAATTATGACCTTCTCTCCATGTTTTGGCAATTTAAGCATCCTAGCTGCACAGAGCTGGTCCTGGATAATCATCTCATACAATCTCAATCATACAATGTTGGGAGGACATCTAAAAAGGACCTACTCATGAATATTCAAATAGTGGAAGCACAGCATTTTCAAGATGCTAAAATACATGGAAATCTTACATATATTGTTTATAACACTATTCCGTTCAACTATTCTATTTCTCTGTAGACCAGCCTCAAGAATGTGTTGTTGTGGGCCCAGAATCTGTGGAGAGGGAGCCTCCGAAAGTGTATCCCGGGTACTCTGGGATGTACCCTTACCATCCATTTTCTGTTGGATTCACTATCAACCAATCAGGCTACAGAGGCCCTTCACCTGCCTCTGTCTTGCCCCTGCAAGCAGGTTTCAGGCACTTTCCTAGCAGTCATGGGCCAGGAGGTGTTGCTTCTATGCCAGTAAGTGACGTTTTATCCATAGTACTCCTTAATGCAAGCTTGAATGCAGGAGCTCAGGTCTTGAAATATACTTGCAGAAAGAAAGAAAGAAAACCCTTTGCCTCTGGTTGCATCAGTCTTGAATTGTATGTAGACAAAACAAAAAAGGGGTAAATTTCAGGATTAAACAAAACTTGTCCCTTTAATTTTATTGAGTTTTCCACCTTACCAACTCCTGGTCTTGAATATAGATAATATCTCTGGGAGTGTTTCAGATTGGCTACTATTAGGAACTGTACAAACTGGATGCACATTGGAATGAGCTTCCAGACAGGCAGCTCCTAGTGCCATCCATTCATGGCTTTTCTGCTGTAAGCTACAATTGGAATTGACTTTCTACACTATCACTCTGTGTATAGACCTGCTATGTTCCATCCTCATCACTGGATGTGAAACAGCTGCTGTGGGTGGAAAAGAAGGTCCAAATCATGTGAGCAGCTACTGGAAGAGAAGCATGTATTTGTTATACTGATAAAGCAGTCTATAAATTTTGTTAAATGAAAAAATAAAGACAGCCTTTGTAGCTGGTGCCATTTTAGCAGCTTGCTTAGTTTTGTATCAATATTTAATGCCAGTGTGTATTTTATGGCTATCTGCTTTTAATCAAATGGGTATTATAGTGGTAATAAAAACTAAAAATCCTCCCTGATCACTGCCATTAACCACATTGCTAAAATGGTGTTGACGACAAAGGGGTTTTTATTTCATTTAAAAAGGTAAAGCCAGAAAAGCGTTTTAGTGCTAATTAAAATATCAACTAAAAAAAGGTAGAGTGATATAATTGTTTCCACCACAAAGGTAATAGCATATATATGTTGTGATAGATCAATGCCCACAGGAAAATATTGCTGTTCTAAAAGGAAGAGATTGCATTACTCTTCTGTTCTCCTGAAAAAGGTGCCTGTTATCATGGAAACTGATTAATCAATTGCATAATAAAGTCAGACATTTCGGTATATGTCTGTTCTTCTGAGGAAAGACAGTAGAACAGGAAAAATACAATGCAACAGCTGTGTAGCTGTCTTGTAAAGAGTAAGTGAAGCATGACTATCCCACACAAAATGCCAGGTTTGAAGTACCTTAAATGTGATTTAACCACTACTTTCAACAGATATGTGCATCCAAGTTCAGGTGTTCTCCTTTGCTTTCAGTGGGGTACATATTTGGTTGTTCACTCAGAAATAATCCTCATTTTAAATACCCAGCTCCTAGATGGCACAAAATATAGTGTATCCATACACTGATAATTGTTTCTTCAAAGTGAAAGTAAATCGGACAGAATTTGACAGAAGGTGGTTTCAAGGTATCTACGCTAGAGGAACCCACATCAGAAATTGAACCCGCTGGATAACTGAACTAATCATTCTCTTGGGGTTTTAGGCCCCCCCCTTTTTAGTACATATTGCAACTGGCTCCTGTTAGGGCACATGTACATGGAGAACTTTGCCCATGTTCACAGTTTTGCATTTGAATGGAAGATCAGGACACCGTAAATGGAAATGGTATGGAAATGTAAATGCAAAATGGGTTCCCAGTATGATGAAAACTGCCATAATTACCCCAGTCAACCTGGAATACGGTAGCTAGGTGCAAAAAAGGACAGGGCTCCTGTAATTTATCGGTAGCAGCTTGTAATGCAAGCTACAGCTGTAGAATTTCCTTCTTCTGCACAACTATTAAAGCTGCAGGACCCTGAACATAAGTTCATAAGGAAAGCCAAAGGCCCATCTACTCCAGCATACTGTTCTTTCAGTGGCCAACCAGATGGAAGCCTGCAAGCAGGTCCGGAGTGCACAACACTTTTCCCACATTTGGTTCCTAGCAAATGGCATCCTATATCTGACACTGGAAGTAGAGCATAGCCACAATGACCTCTTTTGCTCCTGGTCAACCTACACATAAATCTTCGTAAACAGTTCAGAATTATATGATGATAAAACACATTTTGTCTTAGCCTTCTGCCCTTTTATGTATTCACACTGAAACCAAATACCTTTGTCTCTTTGCCTTCACGCAGATGCAAGATGTAGGTGGAGATTTTTGTCCAGGTTATTACACTCCATTGCCACCTTTTATACCTCAGGGATTTCTGCCAGGGATTCACTACATTCCGCCACCTCTCCCACTGAATGTTGTGGCTGAAGCTACAAAGGAAACATCTGGTAAGCATTCAAAAGGTTCCGTTGGTTGCATAGCAGGTGTGTTGTGGCTGTCCACCCAGACAGGAAGGGGATAAATAACAACTAAGACAAGTGTATGGACCACAACATTCACATGACCACAGTGAGGTAAGCGTGGCGTTAGGTTAGGATCCGTTATCCTGAAAGACTCCTGATATGGAGGCCAATACGCCATCCCAACATGCCTGTTGGGGAATCCCATGGAGTTTGGCTAGTGTGAAAGGATGCCATGTGACTAGTATCCTGCTGGTAACCTGATATGCATAGTGACAGGAGTGGAGCGTCTGGGCCAGACCTGGTAGGAGGGTCCCAAAGATGACAATGATTATATATTTATTTATAATCTCCCTTTCTCCCTGACAGGGACTCAAGGAAGTTTACGGATAAGAACAGCTAAAGGAAACTATCATTAAAAAGCAATTAAACAGCAATAGAAAAAAAGACTTTGGCAATCCCACCTGCCACTGAACTCAGTGTGTTTTGTTTATATGCAATTTTATGCACTATCCCTGGAATGTAACTCCTGCATTAGTTGAGAGTCACCTGTACTCTGTACTGACTGGCAGCTGCTCTCCAGGGTTTCAGGCAGAATATTTCCGTTACCAGGAGACACTAGGCATTGAACCTATAACCTTTTGCCCCGTGTGGGGTGTGTTTTACCACTGAGCTATAGCACTTCCCTCTTTAGCATGGTCCTTCTTAAAATATTTAGCTCCTGTTTGCTTTTCATCTTGAATTGTGGAAATATAAATTAATAGCTGCTGTCAGATTTGGTAAGGTCAAGGAAAAACCACACACAAAAAAACCCCTTAAGTATTGTATTTACCTTTCTTGGTTTCATGCCTTTAGCCAGTGTAGGGGAAAATCAAGCATACTATGGGCAACCTTTGGCTGGCTCACAGCCGTGATACAGAAACATTTTCCACAGTTTCAAACAGAGTTAACTTTTCCCTTCAGAAGAACTACTTTTCCTGTTCTGCCACAAACATGGCTGGTATAAACATGCTGAAATAACTCATGAAATAGCTCTTATTTGTATGTTCATGCCTACCTGTTGTTGTTTTTTAAAATCCTATGTATGAAAAGCTAGCACATCAAAGAAAAGGCTAGACTTGAAACTCTTTCCCTATACATGTGCTTTGTTTTTGATGCAGAGAAGCACTCACAACTATGTGACCTAAATACATACTCTGAAGCACCACATACTGTTTTGTGTACATAATTAGGTTGCCTGAAAACTGAAAAATTGTTTGCTTCCTAGCAGCAGCTTGTCTCAAGCTGAGAAGGTATGTTTTGAAAAGCTGCTAACTTCAACATGGGAACAAAGTTCATTTTGTAAAAGCACTATATGTATATTCTCCTTTGCTTGCAAGATGCTTTTTTCTAATGGATCTAGCTGATAGTGCTGTCTGGCAGGCACACTTCTGCTAGTAGTGAAATGCTCCTTCAACCCTTGCTTTCACAAGTATATTTATCTGATTTAGTCCTCTGTGTATTTAGTCATACGTATCTTTAGCCAAATGGATTTACAGAAAGTCAGATATTATTGACGGACAGTTCTAAGTCATACTCATAGATGACCCAGACTAACAAATCCATTAATTTCAGTAATCTATTCAGGTTATGAGTCAGATACCACCCCAGATTTTAAAGGAACAGAGACAATCTTTCCATTCTTTTCTCACATTCTATAGCATGAATGTGGGACGTGAAAATTATTTTTGGAGTTTTAAGTTCTGATGTTTAATTTTTGAGTAGCCACAAGAGGGCAAACTACTTGGAAATTAATCTCAAACTCTTGAGTTGTCAATTTGGGGGGGCAGTTGTTTGAAACTTTAAGGATTTAATAGCATCTTTGTAGACTACATAAAGTAAGTTGTATATTTGCAGTAGTATTGGGGAGTTGATCTAATAAGCCACCATCTGCGAACAAGAAAGATACAAGCTATAATAACATGAGGTGATAAGCTTATTTGTCTTTCAAATATTCGTATGATTCAAGATCAAAAATGGACATGAAATTAAAACAAACAGAGAATTCCTTGGATTATTTGTAAAGAGCAGATTCATACAAAGAACCTGAAATCACTGGATTGTTCTTCTGTTCTGTATTTCAGCTACACTTGCAGATAGCCAGGATTCTGGAGTGATATCTGAACGCAGCCTGTCATCTTCTCAGGAAGATGCCAGTGGAAAATGTTCCTCATATTCTGAGCACTAAATGCACCAAGAAGTCATGTTCAAATGTTGACTTCAAGTGGTGCCATTCTGAAAGCGATGTTTCGTTTTGCGTCACTGACTGGTCATGTCAGTATTTGGGTTGGTATTGTTCACAACATATCTATCAGGTGCTATTCACACAGCAATTTCCGCTGCTTGGTGCCTTAGTGCCAAAGTGGAAGTTTAGGAATCTTCATAGTCTGTTTCTGACATGCAGTTGGACAGGAGGTTAATGCAGGATTAATGTAAACTGTAGGAGATCAGATGTGCTCAAGTACATTCGATCCCCAAATAAAGTTGTGTCTGGTCACACTTTCACACCACCTACCAGCCTGTGCTTGTGAAAGTGGATATTCTAGCCATTTCTTGGCTTGCCAGCTTTTGTTATCTGCTTCTGTCTGAGCCTTTAACAAGAGTTTGCTATGTAGATATTAGCAGGCGATAATGATTATCTCCATTGCTTAATTTGCTAATTCTTCCATATCAGGCTGGTATTAAAACCCCAGAATCAGGCTAATTCTTTTTCTGACAAGTTGGCAGCCCTAACTTACGCTTGTGCTGCAGCTGTGTATTTCTTTCAAAGTTCAGGAGAGGAACTATAGAGGGATGGCTCAGACGCTTTTTTATGCTTCAGCAGGTATTAGAGCTGCAATACACATAATGGGAAGAACCTTCTCCCTAAACAGAAATGTTTATAGGGAAATAACTGTTGAGTTTCAAGGGCCTGCTAATGATAACAGACCATGAATAGAGTTGTGGTTCATATGGCTGAACAGTTGGGATCAATTTGGGATAGCAGAGTTAACAGTTACCACTATGATTAAGGCCCCATCTGCACTATACATTTAAAGCAGCGTCATCCCACCTTAAAAACAGTCAGGGCCTGCCCCAAAGAATCCTGGGAACTGGTTTTTTTGTTTATGATGCTGTGAGGGATTAGGAGACCCCGGTTCTCCTCCCAGAGCTACAATTCCCAGAGTTCTCGGGGAAGAGAGGTTGGCTGTTAAACCACTCTGAGAAGTGTTACTCTGGGAGGAGAACAGGGGTCCCCTAGCAACTCTAAGCACCCTTAACATACAAGTTCCCAGGATTCTTTGGGGGAAGCTCTGACTGCTTAAAGGCCTTTAAATATACAGTGCAGGCAGGGTCTAAGTGTAGCTCTTCATGCTCAGCGTTTGAATTGTGTCATTTATATAACTGTTTCATGTTAATTATGGCTTAGTCCAAAACCAGAGACAAGAAGTGGGGAAGAGCCTTTACTTACTCAGCCTTTACTTTGGGAAAAAGTAGCATCCTTGCAAAGAGCACAGTTCTTACCTGATAGGATTTATTTTTGTAATAAATCAGAATAAGGATGAAGAACAGCATTCCGCTTTAATGTGTTCCGTTGTAAAAAGACCAGCTACAAATGTTAGTTTCACTTTCTTTGCTTAAATCTATTAAACATTGATACTGATCTTAAGTTTTGAAATGTCACATTTTTGTTCTGAAACAGACTTCAAATGTTTAAAAGGCGGAGGGGACATTAACAAGGTTACTTTTATCTGAATACAATTACTAGTACAGTGTTGAAGAATTAATGGAAAATTCAAACGTATACCTACTTGGCTTACCTAATGAGCAGCAATAGAAGGATTAATAAAAATTTCCTATTTCAAGTGACCGAACAACATCCAGAGCCAAAGGCATTTTTGTCAGGATGCGTTTTGCCATATCACTGCATGGCTGAAATCACTCTTTCATATCACAAATGAGCCAGGATGGACAAATTATTGTGGCCTAGGTCACAATAATGCACTAGTGCACTAGGTCAAAATCCACCATGTAAGAAATTCTTGTGTGCAAACTCAACCAAAATGAGTGAGAGCTGTGCAAGACTACTTGTGTGAGCATGTGTTACAACTACTTAGGTGAACACGTGTTACAACATGGGAGTATTATCTTCTAGTATTTTAGTTCTGAATCAAACACTATATTTAAAAGTTGACCCTGAATTTGAAATTCATAACACTGAAGACAAACAGCAGTTGGATCAAGAGATCATGGATCATTGCTTTGCAATGATGTATGCAGTTCTGCTTGTTTTTGTAGTGCTACAGACGTAAGCTTTTGAATTTTCTGGCTTTCAAGTCAATATTCTATATTTTAAGTAACTATAGTGTATTTAAATATAAAATAATGTTTCTTTTTTGTTTGTTTGTGGATCCATGAGAGTGGACTTTTGTGAAGTAAAGTGGTACCTCGGGTTACATACGCTTCAGGTTACAGACTCCGCTAACCCAGAAATAGTACCTCGGGTTAAGAACTTTGCTTCAGGATGAGAACAGAAATCGTGCTCTGGCGGCGCAGCAGCAGCAGGAGGCCCCATTAACTAAAGTGGTGCTTCAGGTTAAGAACAGTTTCAGATTAAGAACAGACCTCCGGAACAAATTAAGTACTTAACCTGAGGTATCACTATATAGGAAAGTATGAGAGAGAGAAGCCAATTGTCATAAGTATGGCAAACTATTTTTTTACCTAGTCTTGTAGTTATTGGTGCTACAAGAGCCCCAAATCCTGAAATTTATTGTTCATTTCATCAGTTAGCTAAGAGATTGTAATTGTAGATTAAAATGTTAGTTTATCGTACCAATTAATAGGACTATCACCCTTTTAAATAAATCTTAGTCAATTAATCATGTTAGTTTTAATCATTTAAATGATTAAATATGTATACATCTGCATTTGAATGAGGAAAAAAGTATACATAGTTTGAGCATTCTAGACTCAAAACTGCACTTAGATGATCAGATATCAGTGGTGGCTAGGACAGCTTTTTACCAACTTTGAATTACACGCCAAAAGTAATTTCTTGTTAATTTGAGATTGGATTACAGTACTGCAGTATGTTCTACATGGAGCCGTCATTAAATAATGCCCAAAAGGTTCCATTAGTTCCACATGCAACTGCCAGCTGTATCACATTATGCCAATCCTTTACTAGCTTCACTGATTACTGCTTTGCTTCCAGCCATGATTCAAGGTGCTAGTTTTGACGTTTAAAATGCTAAATGACCAAGTCTCAAGACTGTGAACCACTGAAGAAAGTTCAGTAAAAACTCTTATTTCAGTGGAGTTTTTCAGGACTGTTTCCTAACTATTTACAAAAATTATTTTAAAAAAAATCTGCTGTTGCAGTCTCCATTATTTTTTTCTCCTTACTGGCTGGGGGAGGAGTTGCATCTGTTTTTGTGCGTTTCTGCTGTAAACTGCCTTGAGTATCTTGCCAGAAAGGTAATGAAGAAACATAATAAACACATCGCCCTAGTCCTTGCTCACTAGTAGGCGTAATTTTGAATTACCGTCCTCACTTACTGTGCCTTGCAAGGCTGACAGTCCAGGTTCTTCTCATAATGCATCTGGGGGGTGCATCCGATTCTTGGCAATAATTGATGTACAGGACTCGAAAATGGGTCGATACGTGTGTGTTGTGGGAAGGACGGCAAAGCAGATCCTTGTGTCCTATAGCATTTTAGGGGTTAAGCCTAGAATAGATTTGATTGAGTGGAAAGTGGTGGGGAGAAGTGGAGAACTGACGTCAAAGATCAAGGCTGGGCCGGGCTGAGCCTTCATCAGAAAGGTGCTACTAATACGCAGGACAGAAGAAGATACGGTTGTAGAGGAGAGCCGACGGGAAGCAGCCGCAAACTCGGCCAGAGGGCGCTACAGCCCCGACAAGTTGCAAATGCGACGAGGCTTTGCTGCCGTCTAGCAAAGTGAAGCCCAACCTGTGCAGGTGCCTTCAAGCCCACCCAAAAAAAAAAGTAGCTACAGTTTCAGGAGGCCTGAGACAGCGAGCAAGAGGTTCTTCATGTTGCCCTTGCCCTCCAAGCGGCAGCGAAAAGCTAAGTCTGCCCGCCCCGACAATTCTTCAGAGCGCCCCGGACATGAGGGCGAGGGCGGCTGCGGCACTTTCAGCACCGGCTCGCGGCGCCTGCTGAGCCAGCGCCTGCCCAAGTGCGCGCGCTGCAGGAACCACGGCGTGGTGTCCAGCCTCAAGGGCCACAAGCGGCTGTGCCGCTGGCGGGAGTGCGCGTGCGCCGCGTGCTTGCTGGTGCTCGAGAGGCAGCGCGTGACGGCCGCGCAGGTGGCGCTGAGGAGGCACCAAGACCAGGTGGCCGGCCAGGTGAGTGGGCGCGCGCGCCTTGCGCGGGGAAAAAACCCAGCAGGGGCGGGAAACACGACGCTGGCGGCAGAAGAGGGCCAGCAGGGCTCCTCCTCGGGCCCCTTTCTCCTTGCTGACGGCTCTGGAGTCCTTAAGAGGCCATAAAACAACAATAATAATAACGGTGAGGATGATGGTGACAGTTAATAATAATTTTAGTGTTTATACCCCGCCCATCTGGCTGGGTTTCCCCAGCCACTCTGGGCGGCTTCCAACAAAATATAAAAATAATAATAAACTGTCAGACATTTAAAACTTACCTGAACAACTTGCTTCAGCACTGAGTTGTATTAATTTTGGTGGTGGAGCAGCAGAACGGTTAGTAATGGCTAAAGAAATCCTCTCAGGCGGCGGTGGCGGGTGGGGAAATGGCGGAAACGCCTCAGGGCATGTGATGTGGGGGCCCCTCAGAGGGCCACACTTGCCAGTATAGGCAACTATGGAATAGTCGCTGTTTAAACCAAGAACGTACTAGTCCCTGTATAAGCAGGATCCCCGCCAGAGGCATTGCCTTTATTCGTTGCAATGCAGGAGCATCTTCAGCTGTGAAGTTTTTTCCCCTGTAGCAAAGCACAAAGCTTCAGCTGCTGAATTTGCTCCTGTAAGTTCAGCTGGCTTTAGTTTTAGCTTCATTGGTGCGTGCTCTGGGCAGTGGGATGGGCTTTTTGCTTAGCTTCTGGGCCTGTGCAAGCTTTATAGGGCAGTAAGCTTTTCCAGAACAAAAAATAAAACATCTGCATCAGGAAGACCTTTCTGGTGGTAAGTGGTGTTTGACATTGGAATGGACTCCTTGGGAAGGTGGTGGACTCCTCTCCTTTGGAGGTTTTGAGGCAGAGGTTGGATGGTCAACTGTCATGGATGCTTTGGTTGCAATTACTGCATTGCATGGGTTTGGACTAGATGACCCTTGAGGTCCCTTCCAACTCTACGGTTCTATGATTCTAAGTGACACAAGAACAAACGGGGAGGATGTGGAGCTGAGGAATAATGTAAAGAAAGTAACCTTAAAACTGCCCTCTCCTGAAGCACCTTTTCCTGAGAAAGTCACTGGAATCTGGTTCTGCGTTTCAGCTAAAAACAAGTCCCAGTCTTTAGTGAGCTTTGCCTCATGTAGATCGAAGTTGAGTAACTTTAACTTTTAAATGGGATGGATTCAGTGTAAATAGTTTAAGCTTCTTAAATTACCGTAATTTGGGTGCTAGTGGAGCTGTCTGGGCCTGGCACTGTAATTGGTTTACTGCTATTGAAGACAAGTTCCCTTTCTTTGAGCTCATGTTATATGTTGTATGTATTTAAAACAGCAATAATAAACCCCAATGTAAACTATATAATTGTAATGCATCCTGGGGGAAAGTTGTCTTTTGATCATAATGCAACTTTTCTTATTTGCTTCCAAATAGCTTGAATGTTTTCAGTATTATCTTAGCAGGCAAGCACGGACATTGTTAGTAAGCAAAAATAGCTATGGTGTTGCTGAATGTCCTCTTCTTTTTGTCATTGCATAGGTTAAGAAAGGAATGAGGAGCAGTGAATATTCAGTTTCTGGCCACAGATTAAACTTCCATTGCAAGACCAAGCAGACTGCCAGGTTGTTGGCTAGACACTCACCGGAAGGTATGTGCCGGCATGTAGGAAATACACTTGAAGCAAATCTAGTAGGTTCTTCCCTTTTAATGTATTCCATTATAAAATGTGGTATTGATATAGGACAATAAGTTGTTATAGCTGTGAAATGAATGTTTATTTTATATTCCTGACACATTCCATAAATAAGTATCTACTTATGAAGACCTCTTTAGGCATGACTCTCCAAACCCTTAAAAAACATCAAAAGATTGTGTAATAATGGCATTTCTAGTCAAGGACTCTGGTTGACATTACATTTCATGAGTGAATACTGGATGCCTTCCAGAGAAGCTAAGTATACCTAAGTGCCACTGATTTGAGTATGAACTGAGTGTTCTTGATTTTATTGGTGTCAGTTGTATTTAAGCACAAAGGCTGCTTCATATGTCTTAATTACATATGATATTACCTACACTGGTGTAGTTAGCTGTTAGCTGTTGTATGTGACAAGCGTATGGGTGCACTTTCACTATGCTACACTTTCAACTATACAACGTGTACAAACAGTTAATGACTGGCACATGCAACTATTACCTGTGATGTGACAACTTACACACAGGTTTCTTAGTAATACCGTTTTTACCGCGTGAAATGCTTTCTGTAAAGGAAATGTGTAATGTTTGAAAGCACCTAATGCCAGGCTTTGCACAATAACTGTCCTTTTCCTTTGGATCTTGTTGTAGCAAATAGTCCACCCTCCCAGGAAACAGAGCATTGCCTTTCTAGCCTCAGTGAGAGAATGAGGAAAAGAAGGGCATTTGCAGACAAGGAGTTGGAATCAATAATGCTGGAAAGGGAACTTCGACAAAGAACCTTTGACAGATTTGCTGCCCATCAGAGAAGACAGCTGCTGAGCAGAGAGCACTTACCAGCCCTTGAGGAAAACATATTCCAAAGTGGACATGATTACCTTAATTACTTGACATGCATTAACACTGGTATGTTGAATATTTGTTTTCCTTTGCTGCATTCAAATACCAAGGTTCTAGACTATGGACCTTGCATTTATAAAATCACAGACACTTCTCCTTTGAATGTAGCTTTTATCACAGCAAGCCAAACTGAAGGTGGCACTTCACAGAAACGTACCTGTGAGGAGAACATGAATAAATACCTAAATGTATACAGAGAAAATAATTGTGACTGGAAGGAGCAAGCTCTGTCCAGTGTCTTTTCCAGAGATCTTCTCTTACTTGAGAATAATTGGAGCCCCAAAATAATAAAACTCCAAGAAAATAAAGAATTAAGAGACGTGGCAGCCAGATATTGTATTTTGTGCAATCATCATGCAAAACAAGAAAATCACAATGTTAATGATACAGGTCTTGAAGTCAAGGAGGATGTAAGGCATTTATCTCAAGAGTGTTGCTCAGAAATAAACAAGCAGATACTGTCTTTTTCAGTAGAATCTTTATTAAAAGTTTAAATATTTAAGTAGCTTGGATGGCCAGTATTCTTATGAAATATTAATAAGGAAGTCTCTCTACTAAATAAATATTCATATTGTATGTATAATTGTAACTCTTCTGCTAGTAGTTAACATCATTGACTCCTGTTCCATTTCTGATGTAGGGGGAAAACGTTCTACTTTGTTGTGATACATTGGAACTAGATCAGTGTGTTCTGGTAAGAGTGAGGATTTGCATCTTTATTTTCATCAATGTTTATGTTTGTAAATGTGTTCGACTGGGCTTTTTTCATCCATCTTGTTTTGCTTATAAGTAAAACATTATTTGCTTGTATGAAGCTGCAAAATATTACCAGGCATATGGCTTCCAGTATATTATAAAATACAGTGTAACTATTTGCAGAGGAAAAACCAGGTGAAAAAATATTACAACATAGCATAATGTCATAAAATGGCATAACATAACTTTTTGTTTTGATCAAATTACTGGAAGTAACTGTGATACAAATCACCAATTTTTGTGCCTAAAGTCCCTGCAAGTCCCTGCAACTGCAGCTTCTTTCAAACAGGATCTGAAAATCTAGTTGAATATCCTTTGCTGAAACAGGGTAATTGGTAACCAGCATTGCCATTTGATTAGCCATATCATTCGGATTATGATATGCTCCAAGCAGAGAGGCTACCACTGCTATAAAAAAGAAAAACATGCACCCAAACTGACAAAAAAATAATCTGGGACGAGGATGGGTCACCACCACCACTGTCATGGAGAAGAGGGTCAGCAGAAACAGAAGGGGAAATTAAAGAACTGGGGTGTGTGCAGTGTGATCTGTCCTGTACCTTTTAAGGGTGGCCATGCCCACTGTTGTTTCTGGTCAAGAAGGTTTTACAGATTTTGTACTGTTTTGAAAACCTACAGAATCTGTTTATCAGAAGTGGTGGTAGAATAAGTGCACATGCTATGAGCAGCTGCCCTCCTTTCAAGCTTATTCAATTCTGAGGATGCAATCCCAAGCACACTTACTAGGGAGTTGGATTCATGAGCAAATTGGAGAATACAGCCAAGCAGACATGCAAAGATAGGATTTGTGCTGTGAAAATCCTCTTATCCACCTCCACACAAAATAGTATGTGTATGGAATTGAACTTTACTGCTTTTCACTGGAAATATATTGGACACTACTACTAAGGGCACAAGCCTAGACAGTGTGTCTGGAAGTCCTGGGCTGCCCAGGCGACAGGCATTCCGTACTACTTTGATGATAGATTCTTGGCACCCTTATTACAAATAATGAAATAGTGCAATACACTTCAATTCTGCTATCTAAAACAATAGGCAAGAAAAGTTAAAGTTCTCAAGATACACATTACAGTTCTCAAGATACGCATTACCTTTCCTACAAAATATAAATATTGCTGGAGCCAGTATTTCATTCTATACACAAAAGAAATTAAAGCACTAGTTGCCAATTAATTTAAATACTAAGGAAACACATATTTCAAGCTTTGGGGGGCCAGTTTAACATCTCTAGGTCTTGCTTTTAGTCCCAAATAATATGCCCCAAATAATAATTTGCCTTAATGAAGCAAGTGTATGTTCTTTTCTTTAAATTTCCTTTAAAGATAGTATATTGGTTCATTTATAGCGTATAGATTTTCCCAGCTCTTGGTCTCCATTGAGCTCTTGCCTGAAGGAGAGCTTTGTAAATCATGGAAACACTCATAGCAACTGAAATGGTTAAAGTTACTGTATTTCCCTACATATTGAGTCATACCACAGAATTAATTTGCCCAACAAGAATTCACGCAGCTAGCTTATATAAACACAGGTTTTGTTTTTAAAAGATTGGGTTGCTTCATTTGTGAAAAGGTCCAAATGCTCTCAGCTACCAAGACAAGTTATTCTCTGCACATTGCAGTCAGGCTCTTTTTACAGGAAATGACCAAAGTCTGCTCTTTCCACTTTCCTTTGCTTCCTGCAGGCTTCATGATATGCCTCTTATGGGCTGCCCTCTGCCAGTGAAGAAACAGTAGGGAATGACTGAGATGATTGGCTTATTTTTGTTGCCTCTTGCTCCTTCACAACCTGAAACTAAGTAAAGCCGCAATAAGGAAGGGCTTTTAATTGACCCAAGCATTATTTTGATGGAGGGCTATCCCACAGTAGTCCATAAAGATTTTATTCTTTAAAAATTACTCCCATTCAGTGATTTGGGTCTTCCAGTAAATTGGGTCAGCACACACTGGAAAATTTTCTGATATAAGTAAGGAACAAGAGAGTGTAGACACTTAGGTACAGCTTGTGTCACTCGAGGTGTGAGTTGCTTCCATGGAATAGCATGCTTAAGGTGATGCACCACACGCAACTCTACTTGGAATATTAATAGTTTGACTTCACTTATCTATGCTCTGGACTGGTAACATTCAGGTTAGATTACCTGTAATTCGGTAATCAGCTACTGTGTGTTGCTGGTTCTCTGATTGGGAATTTGATATATAGTTTGTTCTGGATAGGTTCGTTCTCCTCTTGAAAGAGTGAGCTCATGGTCTTGGGGCTCTCCTTGACCCAGTGCTGTCCTTGATGGTCCTGGTGGCAAGGAGTTCCTATTACTAGTTTGTCAGTGATGGCCTTTCCTGGTTAGGTAGCCTTGCCATAGCAACACATGTTATGGTAACTTCCCAGTTGAATTATTGTAAAGTGCTTTTTGGGCTTTGTGTTGTTTAAAAACTGTAGCTGATGTAATTCTGAGGATGTTGAGAAGTACTGGCGGTTGAAACCACATAACAACATTTGTCCTGCAGAACCTGCAGCACTCAATACAATGTGTTAATGTTGATGTATAAAAAATGATCAGACCTAAATACCTCTCTCTATACAAGTCTGCCTGTAGAGTGATGCGAGAAAAGGCCACCTCTGTGGTGGCCCCTTCTCTTTGGAATGCTTTCCCTGTTGAAGATTACCTGGTGCCGACACTGTTAGCTTTTTAGTGCTAGTTAAGGAGGCACCTCTTTGCCTAGGCTTATTGAAGAGATTGAAGCAATATAGTCAGTTTTTGAGCTGGGCTATTGTGAAATGTTTTGGGATTTTTATCTAACATTTTGTCAATGCGTTATGATAATGGTTGGCTTGTTAGTGTTGGCCTGCTGTGGTTTATGTAGTTATATGTTGTAACCTGCTTTGGGATCATTTACAATGAAGAGCAGGCTTAGGAACTGAATAATAAATGAATGGATGTGTGGTATATGGGACTGCATTTGAAGACAGATTGGAAACCTCCGTTGGTTTAGAATATAGTTAAAAGAACTGCTAACTACGAATGAACATTACAGTTGCACTGGCTCAGTGTCTATTTATGAGTCAAATTCAAAGTGATGGCATATACCCCAGCCCCAAGATGTGAAGGGATTTCAAAGGAGCTGAAGATTTACATATAAACAAATGAACTAGGCTTCATGTTTTCAGCTCTTCTGTAGGTGTCTTGTTAGAGATGTCCCTCCCCTGTAATTTGCATTATTGTGGTGCCTGATGAAGACCCCTTCCCCAAAAATTCTCTAGAATTTAAAATTTATTACCTCTGCTGCTGGTTTTTATCCAGTTTTTGCTATTGCAAGTTTTAGCTTTTGTATTTGAATATATTATTGTGTAAGTCACATATTTTAGAAGGGCAGGGTAGTAGTCCAATAAATAAATAAAGCCACTCTAGCTTCTCATACTTTATCACACTACTTGTGTCTTTATGCTTTGCTTCACAACCCCTGGGTTAGAAACTTGATCTTGTAATGTAAACAATAAAACCTGACTTTCTCTGAATTTTACATAAGCCACTAGATTTTGTGTTGTGCTGTATAAATACAGCTTGCTTGACCACCTGATATAAAATGTGCATTTGAGAAATATCCTATTGGTGCGTTGTAACTTACCCAGCAGCAGTTAATTACTCAGAGGCAAACGCTTTAGCTAGTGTGTACTCTCCCAAGTCTTGCTGTTTTGATTTGAACAATGAAATGGCCAAAGGGCCAACAGTGTTTCTTTTGTTAGGATAATATCAGCTTCACATGTCAATATTTCTCTTCCCCCATGCTCTCCATCTTGAGTTTATTTTTTTAAACACTTTGGCTTCTTTTAAGGAGGTTTGGGTTCCAGAGCAAACCAGCAAGCATCCATTCAACCAGCTTCAAGTTGCATGCTGGGTTGATTGCATTTGTTATGTCTAGTAGCAGATAGAATTTTTTCAAAATATTTAGCCTGTAAGGGATCTCTGCTGGTCGTCTGTTTTTATTGCAAGCATGCAATTAATCACCTTAATTGTTCAATTACTCAGAAGCCCAAGATATTATAACAAAACGAAACAAAAAAATAGATGGCAGTCCAAATATCTTGAAAGTTTAAAGGTTCATACTGGTAAGGTAAAACCAAACATTTTTCCCTATGAAGACAAGACTGAGAAATTGCACTAATTTTGCAGTAGTATTTGTTACAGTGCCTTGAACTTTTACTGTCACATTACAGTTTGAGATACAATGCCCTATTGTTTTTCTAATAATGATAGGGCATTGTATCTCAAACTGTAATGTAGGAGTAGGAGTAGGAGTAATAGTTAAACTCTGATATGGGGAATTTCTGGATACTGTTAGATTTCACCTTGGCCGCAGTCAGCATGGATTGGCTAATTGTCAGGGGTGATTTGAGTTGTAGTCCAACAACATCTGAAAGGCCATAGATTCCCCATCCCAGGTCTACATAGTGGCTCATTTTTACCACTATTCTCTGTTACCCAACTCCATATTTGCAGAGCTGTATGCCCCTGTTTTTGATGCTATGTCAGAATAGATGTGAGAGCAAACACACATTTCTGCACCTGGCAAAAGACACATGGACATGCCAACATGGTCAGGGAGGGGGGAACCTTTGTGGCCCATCTGGTCAGATTGTTAATCTGTCTCCACCAGAGGTGTATCTAGGCTCCCTTGCGCCCTTGGCAAGGAGAGTGGGCAGATAAGCTCCTGGCCACTCTGAGCCAGAGTGGAGAGGCATGATTTTTGTGCCCCCCCCCGGCCTGTGTCCTTGGTCCCCAAGCTAATCATCCCTTTGGTACACCCTTGATCTCACCCCCATGAGCTAGCTTTTACAGTAACTTTTGAACCACTGAAGGAAAAAGTGAGTTGTAATTCAGTAGGTGAAAGCTTCCAGCAACACATCAGAATCAAAATAGCCTTGAAAAACCAACAAGTGTTTCCTTAATCTTTGCCCCTCTGATGGATTTCCACTATCCTCAGCAATTAATTAACTAACGGTGCAATCCAATACATGACTGCTCAGTAAGCCCCATTGATTCATTGGAAATTACTCCCAGGTAAGTATGCATAGGACTGCTGCCTAAATATTTAATGAACCTATTTAAAGCTTGAAACCCTAGTTATAACTTCCCAACCACTGTTCCAGAAGTCATGCCAGAGCACTTTTGAGTATGTACTTTTATAGTGCAGTACTCTGACTGCACACTTCAAGCTGTTAACTGGGGAATGACAGAACAAACTTCCTTAATCTCCCATTGCTTTCCCTTAAAATAATAATACAAAGAATGTTTTAATGTACAGGGCTGCTAAAAAGTGATAAAATTTCAGTGAAGGTACCAGTGATTTAGGTGATCCATGTAGACTCAAAATCTAATAACACAGGGGTCAGCAAACTTTTTCCGCAGGGGGCCGGTCCACTGTCCCTCAGACCTTGGTGGGGGGCCGGACTATTTTTTTTTGGGGGGGGAGAATGAACAAATTCCTATTCCCCACAAATAACCCATAGATGCATTTTAAATAAAAGGACACATTCTACTCATGTAAAAACATGCTGATTCCTGGACCGTCTGCAGGCCAGATTTAGAAGGCAATTGGGCTGGATCCGGCCCCCGGGCCTTAATTTGCCTACCCATGTAATAGCATTTGCTTTTTTTCTTACTATCTGGATAATGAAGAAATAACAGAGTCCCATTAGCTTTGTTGGACTGCATGTAGCTAGCCAGAAAACAGAGGGAAAATAAATATATTTAGAAGCAATATAGAATGAGATTCACTATATTGGTGCACAAGGATACAGTTTTTAAGTTGGTTCACAAAAATCCAATTGGCTTTGTAGTGTCATCTCTAAACAGAAGCAGTTTAAATGATTTTAATAGGTATAATTCATTATACGTATATATTTCCAAGTAACCGTAGGACCAGATGAAATGTCTGGATCATCTCAAGCCTTGAGAGTGAAAGAGGTCAGGGCTGTTCACTTGGGGCTGCCTGCCTGGACAGTTAACAACAAATGTAGATAATTAGAGGTTTGTTCCAGCCAACTTAAGCATGCTTTGAATCCCACTGATTTTAAATGGAAAAGGATTAAACACAGCAGGGTAGTGCAGTTGTTAATATGATATGCTGTGAACCGGTTGGAATCTTAGCGGGCAGGGCAATCCTAAACAATCGGGCTTAATGTATGCTGGCTGAAGTTAAGGCACCATAAAGTATGCCAGATCCTGAGTCCATTCAGAAGCTCCAGGCAGGCAGAAATGCTGGCTGAACTGGCACCAACCCAGTAGAATAGAAAAATCTGATGAAATACAGAAAGCCACTGTCACCATGGAAACTGCTGCCACCTGTTGACACACAGGGTGGATAGGACCCAAGCCCTCCTAATAGTGTGTACAGACTGTGAGGCCACTTAGAGAGAATCCATGGGAAGCAGTGCAGAAACACAGAGCACATTCTGCATGCATCTTCTAATCAGTACATCCCACACACCCTGGCTGCACCCACCACACACTCCTCCAGTTGCACAGCCACACTAACAGCACAACCAGGTAAGCAGATGTGGAGATCACTAGTACACTCCATGGCCCCACAAGCGTCCCAGACAGACACAGGCTGTGCCGCCCCCTCCCCAGAGCACACAGCATGTATGTGGAAATGCAAAAATACAAGTTTATTGAAAGCACCTCACAAAGAACTGTTGCACACCACCCTAATCTCTGAGCGATGTGAGATTTTAGGGGTCCCAAGCATGCTTACCATGGCTCTGACCCTCTCTCTAGCTTGCTGTGTTTTACAGACTCCCACCTTCAGCTCACATCATGGCCAACTGCATTCCTAAACCCTACTCTGCTTTGTCTCCAAACTTAGAGCTGCAGGGAGGGACCCTTCCCATTTTCTGCCTGGCACAGAGTCCCTTCTCTCTGGCTTTCCTAATGGCCCATTACTTTCCCTTTGTCTTTTGTTAATGGCTGATCTCCCAGGCGATTTCCTGAACAAGGGAAGCTGGCTTGGCACTGTATTTTAAGGCTTCTCTAAATCCAGTGTCTGGAAGTCAATTTTAACACTCGAAGCATTGATTAAATGCTAACACCTATCAGACCCTAGAATTTAGGGGAATCTGGCACCCATAAACCTTGGCTCCCAAGACTCTGCAACAATACACACTGCTGAAAGCACAACAGAGGCCACGAGCATCCAGAAAACCTATGTAAAACCTGCCCTAAGCACCCCAGAACAAGTCCTCAAGGGTAAGGGGCAGGCACCTCCTCTACCACCACCACCACCACCACCTCCTCCTCCTCTTCTTCCTCTTCCTCTTCTGCCCTGGCAGTGGCAGCAGCACAAGGGCAGGCACCTGCTGCCCCTCCCAATGGGAAATATGTTCTGTTCTTGAGTCTTGTACGTCACTTTAAGGATTTTATTGTAGAACAGAGTATAAATCCCATATCTGAAAAAGAAATATTTTAGATGACCTGAAAAAGCAAACAAACACAGTCTGCAACAGTGTGGAGATAATTTAGAAAAATGGCCATGGGTATAAAAACATGTATAGTTGGGACCTGCACTGCAGAAGTTCCTGGTCCAGCTTTTAGGGTGATATTAAATGTTAATCCTACTTAGGGTAGATTAACTGAAGTGAATGGATGTGGCTCATTTAGGTTTGTTAATTTCAAGGGGCCTACTCTGAGTTGGAAGCTAGTTCAGTACAACCCTTAGGCTTGATTCCAAATCAAGATCTTCACTATCTACTTTTCTTTGTACAACTCTGAATATCCTTTCCCCCATCTCAGTGCTACTGTCGCCCCTATTTATAAAAGTTTAATCAAAGAACAATGTAGGTTAAAAATAAAGTATGTAATATTTGCCTAGTTTTTATAGGTACTGTTGCCTGTCCTATCACAAACATGGTGTCAGAAACTGTAACTTCTGTTTTTTATCGGTATAGTATCTCTGTTAACTTATTCTTGCTGGACAAAACACTGCATCTCCACTCTCAAATTCACATTTAAGAAATACTTGAACTGGAGCTCCCTCTCGTGACAAAAGTAAGACTTACAGTTCTTCCAGTATTTGATACCGTGATGAAAGGCAGCTTGCTGGGCTACCATTTATGTTCCAAGGAGGAGTATTCTTTTCAGTTTCTCATTCATCGTGTACAATTGCAAACTGGCTTGACTTTATTCATCAGTCAAGTTTAAAAGCAAACCCTAAATTGGGTCCTGTAGATTTGCCTGTACTGGGAGGACTGAGTCTTTTTTCCATCTCCTCCAGTGCTGCTAATCTTTGTACTGCTGGTCTGTTTGTCTCCTGTTATTTCCCGAACACTCTTTTATATTGTGTGATTCTATAATGTTATAAACTATAGCGTTCCATGAGCACTTGTGTGAGAGAAGCTGTTCTGGAGAATGACAAGGGATAGATTAGCTACCACTTTATTAAATTGAGAAGAGTTGCATAGTTTCAATAAAGTTCCTGGCTACAAACACTTTTTAAATTTTTCATGGCATTTACAGTAGCAAATTTTAAAGCCATCTTAGATGTCACAAAGGCTATGTGATGAGTATGAGTTACTCGTGCGTAAACTGGTGCCTCTCTAGGCTAATTTGCCTTGTTAAACCTTTCTGACTGCACAGCCCTTTCTCATCATGACTGTCTCAGTCACTAGCAGAATCTGTCAGTGGGCGTTTCTTGAATCTCTTCCAACATAAGAGTTGTTTGACACACAATCTCCTCCGCCTCTCACTGCGCGGGAGCCTTCTGCGCAGGGTGGGCGTGGGTAGCGGGGGACCTGTCCCCTCCTCACTGAGTTCCAGTGAAGAGTCCGTGAGCCCTCTCCGATTTTCCCATCTGCTCACTTTTGTTCCTGGTGTTGCGCTTAAATGCTTCCCCCTCCACTGAGTTGCTTCTCCCCCTGCTGCTGGGTCCTTCTCCAGCATCATCTTGGAGCCTCCCCTTCGCCTCCCGCTCTGATGTCAGTTGCCTGACAGGCTACAATGCTGGATATAAATTGGAATGAATAAATACACCATTTCCTTTTCCTTCCTTTCTTTTCTTCTTGTAAAAATACAATCTACACAATGTGCAGTCTACAAAATTAAGTAACTTACCCTTTGAAAATAAAGGTTAAATGTGGTAGCCTCCAAACATTTTTGCAGATGTCTTACAATAAGTGTTTTTAGTACAGTGAGATAAATCAGTTTTTACAATTGGCATGGGAATTGACTTTGACATGTATATTGTCAATTGGGAAAAGGCAAAGATGCTGCTGCTTCTCCAGCTTTTA